CCATCTCATCGATGAGCGGCGCCATCTTGAGTGTTGCCCCGACCAGGATGACGGACATGAGCAGCAGGATGAGCCCGGTGGCCATGATAGACCAGCGGACCTTCCGCGGCAGCTCGTCGTCCGCCTTCCGACGGCTCACCCGCTCCCGGGCTTTCCGCAGCGCGTCGTCTTCCTCCGTCTTGCGCTCCTTCTTCCGCTTGGTCCTGTCCTTGGCGTCCGGGCGGAGCGCACGGAGGCTGCGGTGCATCTCCTGGATGTCCGACGTCTCCAGGTCCACCGCGCTCAGGTTGATGAGCGAGCAGGAGGTCGTGGACAGCAGAGGCGCGCCAATGTTCGCGGGGATGGCGATGCTGTAGTCGTAGCCGCACACCATTTCCTGGGCCTGGAAACCGCTCGCAGGCAGGACGGTGGATTGGCCGGCGGCCCCGGCGTGCTGGTGGGCGGCGTCGGGCATGAAGGCGTGGGGGGAGTAGTCCGCCATGGCGCCCCCGGTGCTGGTGTTGCGGCCGCTGTTGCATGACTGCGGCCGAGAGAAGTCTGTGGTGGTGGAGACGTCGTCGTAGGTCTCGACGGTGGACTGCCTCAGGAGGTACAGGCTCTGGTTGTCGGACCCGCTGCGCACGGACGACTGGCGGGTCAGGCGAAGAGACGGCGACGACTCCGTCGTGGCTTGCCGCTGGAGGTCCCGGATGAGGCGTCGCGTGGACCCCGCCGACTCTTCCGTGTCTTGGCGGCGAAGCAGTTCGCGGGAGTAGCGCTTGGAGTAGCCGGAGTCCGACGAGTCCGTGGTCCACTGACGCCGCAGCTCCCGCGCCTTCGGCCTCCGGTACCGGTCGGCGTCGTAGGACTCGGACGTCCTCTGCCGCCTCAGCTTGACCTGGCGCTTGGGACGAGAGACGTCACTGTTGCTGCTGAGCGACTCCTGGTGGCGGAGGTAGCGGCCGCCGCGGGCGCTGTGGGGGCGGTCGGGAGGCCGGTCCAACCCCACCAGGTCGGCGCCCCAGATCTGAGCCGCCTGAGCCATGTATCGGTAGCATCCCTCGGGGCCCAGACTGATCTCCGGACAGTCCCCGGGCGTTGGGGACAAGAGGAGCTCGTCGTCAGTGCTGGTGGCCTTGTCCTCGCACACCACAGCGACGCCCACGTCGGCGGTGGCACCCTCGGCGGCGCCCTCGGCCATGGCTCCACCAGCCGTGGCGCCCAATGCGGTGGCTCCCACAGCAGTGGCACCATCTTCACTCATTGTTACCGCTGGGACCTGATGACCCATACTGAAACACCCAAGACGACACATTACCCAGCGCCCACGCCCGCGGAACACGCCAGAGGAATGTCTATACCTTGCATTTTTGCCATATAGAGAGAGAACTGTAGCCCGTTGTTTGTCTGCATGGTCATGGTTTAGATGAAGCAAGATTGTTCGGAAATCTTCCGTCCTATGAGAGGATCATAAATTTGTTTGTTTTTATTCATCTTTGTTTATTTCATTTCTTTACGTAATGTACTGAACAAATACACAAACACTCATGCCACAAAGTGACACAGACACACACACACACACACGCGCACGTACACACACACACACACACACACACACACACACACACACACACACACACACACACACACACACACACACACACACACACACACACACACACACACACACGAAAAAATATACACAGCCTTTACAGTCACAAATACACATATATCTATGTACGAAGGCACAAATTTGATTAGCAGCATGAAGGCCCACTCTATAGAAGCATATATATATATATATATATATATATATATATATATATATATATATATATATATATATATATATATATATACATATATATATATATATATATATATATATATATATATATATATATATATATATATATATATATATATACATACATATATATATATATATATATATATATATATATATATATATATATATATATATATATATATATATATATATATATATATATGTATATGTATATATATATATATATATATATATATATATATATATATATATATATATATATATGTATGTATATATATATATATATATATATATATATATATATATATATATATATATATATATATATATATATGTATATATATATATATATATATATATATACATACATATATATATATATATATATATATATATATATATATATATATATATATATATATATATATATATATATATATATATACATATACATATATATATATATATATATATATATATATATATATATATATATATATATATATATATATATATATATATATATATGTATATATATATATATATATATATATATATATATATATATATATATATATATATATATATATATATATATATATATATGATTAAGAATATGGAAAAAAACTAAAAAATGAAAATAAACAGACAAACACTCTCGTATATATGTAAGTAAGCTGTCAAATATAGATAAAGAGACAAATAGATAGA